GGAAAATAATGACTTACACTGACTTAAGAAAAGGGTCAAGATTAACCTTTCCACTTTTCCACATTCTCCAGGCTCACTCTTTGTCCCCCAGGGAAATGACGGTAGAGCAGTAGACCTGGTGACCCACTGTGAAACTCCACAGCCCCTTCTTATGTGTCCGGGGTTCATTATCCCACACTCATCGGGGCTGCAGGTACCTTGATGCCTAAGGGCCAGGCTCTTTGTGGAAGCGAGGAGCAGAATGAGCTGTACACAGCCTGTGTGAGTTGTCAGCTTTGTCCTGGCCAGTGCCTCTGTGGTGCCGAGTAGTGAATGCGCACACCTTCTGTCCACCAGGAAACGCACTGGGGATGAGGAGCACAGCAGAGCAACAGCTCCCTTGGAATTGATTTTTTCCTGCATCAATTAAAATGTGCAGTGAGGCATTGGGTTCTCTAAGACTCTTCCTGTTTCCACAAATAGTGACTGGTTAGATGTCTCCAAGAATACAGAGTCTCAGATGAGAGTAGCGGGAATTTGGGAACTGATTGAGAAGAAAATGAAAGACAGGGTGGCATCTGCCACGGGAACAAAGCGCCTAAGTGCAAACAGCAGTGATTCCCCAAGTGAATTCACTGACCTGTGTGGCCTTGACACTGACCGCCAGCCCTGCCTGGCTGAGACCCACCTTGGCCATGAAGGGCAGGCAGGCTCCAGAGTGGGGCGAAGGCTGCTCATGCCAAGGTCCTAGTGCCCAAGGGTGTGGAATGCCAGCTTTCCCTGTTCTCTTTTTTCCTTTGCAGTCCCTGCTCTGAAACTTGAAAATGTCTACACTTAGCTTTAGGCCCTTAGGGTGAGGTATTGTTTGAACCTAGATGTCGGCTAATTATCAAGGTCAGTGACATCCACATGAGCCAACACTTGATCAGGGCCAACCATGTGGATGACTTTAAGTAGAGCAGTAAAGGTGCCATCTCCTCACTCAGATTCTGTGTCTACTCCTAGACCAATGTGTGTGGTCTGAGGGATGAGAGAATGTGATTGGCATTGTGTGGACCACAAGAGTTCTCTATGTGCAGAAAAGTGTGTGTGTGTGCGCGTGCGTGTAATGATTGGCAGACTTCAGTAAAACTACAGTTTGAGCATTATTTCCCAACGAGGATGTTGCTCTTCTGTCATGGAAAAAAAATCATGTCCACCACAGCTTTGGGCATATTACCTAACATGTTTGACCTTTGGATAGTTTGTATAATGAAGGATTTGGATTACATGCTTTCCGAGGGTCCTTTCATATCCAAAAATGTCTAGTTCTATCACCTTATAAATTATGGCACTTTATAGGGTCATTTCACACCTGACCCCAATAGGCAGAGCTGATGTTATTTCATCAAGGTGGGGAAACTAAGGCTCACAACGTTAAGTAATTCCCTCGAGTCACTAGAATGGCAAGTGTAGAACTAGGAAGAGATTTTAGGTTCAGAGGATTCCCTCTGAATGCGTCCTCCCTCAGGGAATCAGTTCCGTCCATTCTGTAGTGGGCACTGATCAGTTGGTGGCTGCTATAGATCAGCCCAGGCTTGGGCATGGCTTTGATGAAGTAAGTCTGGGATATTCAAATTTATTATTTTGCTGCTGGTGAGGTGCCAGAGTCGTTCACTAATGGGGAGCTTGGCTTGGGAAAGGGAGGGAAGGCGAGTTGGGGAGGCTGCTGTGGCCTGAGACTGGGGTAAGACCTAAGGGAGCGGCTTCGTGCCTTCCAGCTCACAAAGCTGGAAGTGGCAGAGAAGGGACTGCTGTTTGCTTTAAAATTTCTCTACATATTTATACTACACAATTGGTGAAGTCTAGCAAGCCAGTAGGATGTTTTATTTCTAATGAGACAAATTAATTGGACATTTTCTGCATCAAAAACATCTATTACTATAACTGAGGAATAGCTTAGAGGCTTAAGGGCTTGCTTTTTGAGTATATTATCTGTAGCATTAAAAATATTGAAGACCAATTTGATTAAGACTTAAAAAATAGAGGGCAGGGGTATGGGGAAAAAAATGAGAACCAAGATCTGTCATGTAAAGGTACAAGATCCCAATGATGAATGTAACTGTACCGTATACTTAAAAAGTACCAATAAACTCAATAAGATTAAAAACAAAGACTTAAAAAATAGCTAGGCATGCTGACACACACTTGTAATCCGACTCTATGGGAGGCTGAGGCAGGAGGGTTGAGGTTCAAACCCAGCCTGGGCAACTTGGTGACTTAGTGAGATGATGCTATCTCAAAAAAAAAAAAAAAAAAAAAAAAAAAAAAAAAAGAAAAGAAAGAAAAGCCTGGGGATGTAGCTCAGTGTGAATGTCCTGGGTTCAGTCCCCAGTACCTCAAAGAAAAGAGTTATACAAATGTTACTGAAAAGGCTTAAGACACTGCCTTGATCTGCCAATTAATAAATTGACCCTTGAGAAATTCATATGAATATTAAAACTGCTCATTGAAGCATCTAGTACAGCAGTAGAAAGCAAAAAGGACATAGGTGTGAGATTAAGAAGATTATGTTAACTTCCGACAGAAATTATTAAAAACAACACTGCTGAAGACTCATTCGTAACAGGCACATTCTCAGGTGTGCAGCGGTAAGAACGTGGACCCTGGCGTTGCTCACCGGCTTCTGAGTCTCGCTCTGCTGATTCCCACTCACGCCCTCGGCCAGTTTGGACCTCATTTTACTGGACGAGAGCCGGGGCCAATGCCGGCATCGCCTAGCAGGCCTGTCTGGGCCCCGTGTGAGGTGAGCGGGAGAACTGCTGCTCGCGGAGCCAGGCGCTCAGAAATGTATGGGGCAGCGCGAGTTCTTCTTGATAAAATGCCCTCCTGCTTTCTAACTGATGACTTGTGTCACAAGAACATAGAAAGTTATTTTAGGGAGAAGATTTACATTTTTAATTGTGTAAATACGAGTGCACGTGCAGTTTAGCGTCTTGCCTGTCTAATCACCTGAGTCAGTTTCTGGGCCGAGCTCATTGGTGTCGGGGCAGACGCTGGCGTGAGCTGAGTTTGTCCTGGCAGTGATTTCAGGTGGCGTAGCACAGGACTGGTCCTCAGAGACCGTTCTCTGGGAGCTAGGGCCACTGCTGGCCCGGCAGGGTTTCAGCCCACATTGGCAGGACCAGGGTGGCTCTCCCGAGTCAGCGAGCTCCACCGGCCAGTCAGTGCAGGAAACAGTTTGGATGTTTCTGGAGACGTCAGACCTCGTTGCTTTAATTGCGGAACTGCTCTAATTGCACAACAGGAGGATCTGTGACCGCCGGCCTGCACGGTTTGGCTCACGGGCATTTAAATGAACAAGTCCTGTGTCCGGCAGCAAAGCTTTCCCACTGGTCCTGTTGTCCTTCAGGCAGGGACCCCGGCAGGTGGGCATGGAGGGGCCAAGGCAGGGTTACTATGAGAATATTAACCCAAAATAGAAAAAAAGCAGTGCTTTCCTTTTTAGTTTCATATAAGCGTGTTTGAAAATGTCTTGGTCCTGTCACCTTTACCAAGAGGCCCAGCTCTAGAAAGGTAACTTCTCGGTCCTATGAAAGAAACTCACAGTCACAAAAGATGAACTGCCGCGGGGAATGCCAGACTCTAATAACGATCACTCCTGAGTGAGGCCGCGTCGCTGAAGCCATGCTCTTGTCGGTCCTGTTGGCCCCTTCTGCTCACAGGAGCGAGCCTCTGAGCTTTTGGAGGGACAGGACCCGCAGGGACCCAGAGTGTGCCCACTGTCTGCAGGACCAGGAGTGAATCCCCAGGACTGCAGTCCCTCAGCCGGGAGACTGAGAACTTAGAACCTGGCTGCTCAGCCGCGGGCTCAGTGGCGCCTCTCTGTCCAGTGTGGTGCACATTCCCGTCACCACTGCGCCAAATCTGTGACATGAATTTACGTCCTCTCTAAAACATCCAGGCTCTTCTCCCACAGCTCTGCTGACTCCTGACCGAGAAGCAGAGCCTCTGGCAGAGAGCACACGGTCAGGCAGTGGAGGGACTGCTCCCGTGGTCTCTGCCACCAGCTCAGCAGAGGCCCTGGGCCTGTGGGCGCCCTCTTGGCAGTGAGAGTTTTCATTTTAGAGGAAAGGCAGGCATTGGTTGATGCTCTGAGATCTGCAGTGGTTTTGGAAAACCAGTTGAAAGCAGTGTTGCTCTCGTCCAGGGCCATTTCAGAGCCTTTGCTGAGGCTCTGGGGTGCTCCTTAGCCCATCCTCTCATGCAGTGTCCCCAGATCATGGCTCACCCCTGCCGCGGCGCGTGCTGAAACAGTTTCCCTTCTGAGGAAATGTAGTTCTGTTTCCAAGAAAAATGAGGCCCTTTCTCCACGGAAGACTTCCGGTGGGTGCTCGGGTTGCTCTCTGCATGCTGTCTACAGCCCTCTACTGCTCCGAGCTCCCGTCAGCGGTCCTTGACCACAGGCAGGCCCAGAGCAGTTTGCATCTTGTGTTCTGGAAGCTGAGTCTCTCTGCTGTGACTTCCTGATGCTCCCAGACTGCTCTCCCTTCTTTGAAGCTCGGCCCCAGAATCCCATCAGGCTCTCTCCTCTTCTCGAACCCTCCTGTCCTGTGCTGTGTTACGTATTTAAGACTCTTCCTCTCCTTGCTGGACTGGACGGGCCTTGGTGGCACAGTCCTTTATCTTTGTCCGATGCCCCTCCTGGTGCGCTATGTGTGTAGCCATCGGCCGTTCCGACAATGCCTCTGACCGCAGTATCTCCGCTTTCAGTCTGCTCCGGTTACACGTTTTAATTTGGAGACTGAAGATGTGGCAGTGCTCTGTCTACCCAAGCCCAGCATGGCGAGTTAGACTTCAATCTTTAGGCCGCATTTCCTGCTTTCCCATGAAAGATGTCATAATTTGTCCCCTTTTGATTTCAGGGAAGGCCATTTGAAGGGCAGAGGATTGTGGTGCTCTGGTAATTTGTCCCCTTTTGATTTCAGGGAAGGCCATTTGAAGGGCAGAGGATTGTGGTGCTCTGCAGCAACAGAATTTTTTATTTCATTTTGTTGTATTTCAGTCCGTCACCATGAGAAGAAAAACGGCTTCGAGATTATTTTTGCTTTGCAGAGTTTCTGAAAGACTAAGGACAGCATTAAATACTAATTTTCCTTCAAGAAGCTGTCTGGTCATGGTGTTACTAGAGGGGAGAATCACCCACATCGCCTCTTTCCTGTTCCCGCTAAGTTTTAAATGAACCATGGGGCATGCGAGGCCCGGACAGCGCCCCCGCGCATCCCGCTCTGGGTGCTCTGGGACCAAGGTGCCAGCTGCTCCTCTCCTGGGGGCTGGGTCCCTGGAAAAGCAGAGCAGATCCAGCCCAGCACGGTGTCGGCAGCAATCGACAGGCGCTCGCTCAAGGAGCTCGGCCCCGGTGCGTCCTGCACCCGTCCACACTGGCAGGCAATGAGGCTCAGGCGGCGCCCACGCGCGCTCCTGTCTTAGTCACGGTCAGGA